CTATACTAAATTGTTACCCTGTGTTTTATGATTTAATACAAATTTATAATCAAAAATTGTGTCTAGTGAAATTATTTAATAAAAGTTGAACAATGTAATCAATCTTTTAAAATGTAATCAAATGAAAATATAACAATTAATTTATAACAAAGCTGCATTTTTTAAATTCTGCACAACAGTATGAATTAAAACATGGGGAAAAAACATAAAAACATGGACAAATATCTTGTTGTGTGATATTCCTTAAAAATTATAATATTATTATAACTTTGAGAAGTACATTTAATATATTTCTGTCATAATTTCTTCAAGTAAACCGAACTATGATTTTTGCGGTTTGGTGTGAAGATGTTTCAGTTTGTATTTAATGGTAGTTTTTCTCAAAGTAAATGGTGTAAAGCTCATTAAGTGACTCTTATAACAGCTCTGGAGATGAAGTTCATGTGTTCATGTCCTCATATATTGAGATGGCAGATGCTGAAAACATCGTGAGCATCATGCGTGCTTGAGTATGTGTGTAGTAGACTCACATGCAGACTTATCAACAACATCACCTATTAAGACTTATTAATATGTACTGTACTAAGTAAAAATGTCCAGAGCTTATCATCATTGACATTAATATTATTGCGTTCTTGATGTAAAGCCCTACCCAACACTTTTTAAAACAAGCAGAGAATTCTTTCTAGCATACAATTGCAATATGGCCTGTTAACTTGTTACACTCTTATTGAAGCAGTATCAGCGTTATAGAAAAAAATAAACACTCTCTTTTCCAGTCTGCACTGCTTTTGTGTACCGAAGTAACACTGATTCTGGATATAGCTGGGCAGATGCTATTTCCAGCTAGTCTGCTCTCCGTACATTCTCGTCGGAAGTCCTGTAACCCCACTTGACACAATCCTCTCAGCGCACATCAGTGATACCCCACGTACAGGCGCAGGAAGTGGTCCTGCAATGTCCCCGCAGCTATTAGAACAGTTCATTAGCCCAGATAAATGACTGAGGCTCTGACTGGCCTTTTAGCGCCGCTGCTAAAAAGAGCTCACGTCTCTGCCCATTAGCCGGACATGGTGGACGATGACAGCGGCAGGACCGGCCCTGTCACGCTGCATGGGTCCCGAGATGAAGCTCATGCTAACTGACGGCTGTCAGTGAGAGCACTCCCTGATGTTAGTGTTTCCTCAGGGCTAATTCTGCCCCCCAACACACATACACACACACACACACACATTCAGTGTCATCATTCACAGCAGGAGGCGCTCTGTCAGAATGAATGAAACTGTGCCTTCCTTAATGACAGGCGCAGTGACGGCACCAGTATGTCACGGCGAGGGTCTCACGGATGTGGTTGGATGGATTTGAATCATCCCCATGATCATTATCTGTCTAGTAGAGGGTAGAGAGAGAGAGAGAGAGAGAGAGAGAGAGAGAGAGATGGTAAAAAAAGAACAAGGCCGAGAGAGAGAAAAGACCCTCTGGCTCATTGTGTCTTACTGCTGGCCAGACTGCTGCCCACTCTCAACACTTCAGCTAATGACTTTATGATGAGCCGAGAGGCCTGAGGTGATCCTACATGCAACGTTACATCAAGACCAGTTCACCTGTAGTATTGAGACACCAACACATTTCAGCAGAATCCTATGGGAAGGGGTTCTTTTTAACAAGAAGTAGTTTGACGAGATAACTGGCCCTGACCAGCTAACTGAACCAATAATTATAATAGCCAGGTTTCCATCCAAACTGTGAATTTAACTTGTGCGCAATATTGGAATATCGCGTAAAACATTTGAGAATAAGCACCGTTTCCATCCAACGAGTCAAAGAGAACAAAATTGTCACTTACTGATAAACTGGCACTAAATATTACTAAGAAAAGTATAATTATATATAATAATTGTTAGATATAATAAATTACTTGCGCTTCAGAGTGAGCAGACGAAACACAATAAATGCGGTCATTGCTTTTGGAGTTGGATGCCTGCTGTTTGGGAACGCAGTCATGTAAAACAGTTCTGGGAGGCAATTATACAGAAATACTTTGACGACAGGCTGTGCTTGGGCATTTAAGAATAACCATAACAACATTCCAAATGCTGTGCAACAAGATCGGTCCGCTGGTTAGTCAGGTTATGCCATCTCATAGCACAAAAGTCGCATTACTTTTTTGATGCGCATGGAGGAATTTATTCTGTAAATGTGTTTCCTTCTCCCATTATTCGCATCAACCCTTTTCGCACAAGTCAAAAACCACCTCAAGTGAGCATAATTTTTTTTTGTGAATTAAGGGATTATTTTCAGAAATTTGGTGTTTCCATCACTCGTTTCTGATGCGATATTTCAAAATGCACATAAAAACAAGGTGATGGAAATATAGCTATTGTCAGACAAACAATAGTTTTATTTACAAAAGTAAAGGCTAGTAAAGCATAGCCTTAATGGGTGCCTTAGCCAACTAAACAGACGCTCAAAGAACTACCACGAGGAAAGCCCATGGAGCGAGAGATCCAACTCCTCGGAGAGGATAACGCTCGACAGAAAGCACCCGCTCACAGTAACCCTCAACGGCGAGGGGGAGCGATGCTTCCTGAGTGTGTCGCCAAGACACACTTAATTGAGTGGAGCCCGGGGAACTGGGGATCTAGCCAACTCAGAGAAAGGGAACGAAGTCAACAACGCGTAACCCTTACCGTACCGGATTTTAGAAAGTGGGCAAAACCATAGCGTGCCCACTTACCAGCTATGTGGATTTTAGAAAGTGGGCAAAGCATTGCGTGCACACCTACCAACTATGTGGATTTCAGCAAGTGCGCGAAGTATAACATGCACACTTACCACTCGTGTGGATTTTAGAAAGTGCGCCAAGCCTTACTTGGGCACTTACCATAGTATTTGGATTTTAGGGTTCTATAAATATCCGGACGCACTGGTCAGCCGGGGGAAGCACGCCCCCCATACACTCCTCGGAGGTGGGAGGAGCGCTGCTTCCTGAGTGCGTCGACAGAGACACACTAATTGAGTGGAGCCCAGGGTACCGGGATCTTAACCAGCTCAGAGACAGGGAACGAGGTCAATAACGCGTAACCCTCACCGTACAGGATTTTAGAAGAGTAGGCAAAGCATAGCGTGCCCACCTACCAGCTATGTGGTTTTTAGAAAGTGGGCAAAGCATCGCGTGCACACTTACCAGCTATGTGGTTTTTAGAAAATGCGCAAAGCATAGCGTGCACATCTACCGCTTATGTGGATTTTAGAAAGTGCGCAAAGTCTTAACGTGAGCACCTACCATAACATTTGGGTTTCTTATAAATACCCGGCCGTACCTGCCACCCGTGAGAGGCCGGCTCA